TTTTTTGTAAATTTCATATTAAAATATTTAAAATTTCCAGCTTCAGCCATTTCCAGCTTCAGCCACAACAGTTATTGTAGATAGTATCCATAAAGCCTATGTGGCAAAGAATGAAAATGAAAGCATTGGAGATTTAATGAAATGATATCCAACTTATCAGGTAAATGCTTATAGAAAGAAAAACTATAATCAATCAGCATCTTTAAATCTCAAATATCCTTGGATGGTTTGTAGGAGATGCCATAATACGCTTCAGGCATCGAGAAATTATGAAGATGATTATTAACACATTATATTTGAACTTGAGAATTATTTATATACGAAAAAATATTATTAATATTGTATAAGTATCACTAATATAAAGATATATTTATATTAAACTAACTGCCCTCTTCCATATATTTAGAAAATCGTTAAGTGCCAGTCGATCAGCTTTCGTTATATTGGGTATAATAGGTTGCTTGACAACTATCTCATTTTTTCTCATGGTTTCAGGTTGTCCAATCTTATCTGAGATGGATATGTGTTCTTTATATCATATATGATATACTAAATGATAGAAAAAGGTATCATATTTCTCGATAAATAGGATAAGTGCATTTAGGCATTTTGTAAAGTCGGAGCATATAGATTTTTTTGTCTCAGTACTTATTGAGAGATTATCATTCTCGGTATATGCTCTGGCGTATTCCACAAACTTTTTCCATAATCTCTCAACAGTATTAGTTGCCTTAAAATCCTTAAAATTAAGCCATTCCCCATGAAATATCTCATAAGTATTACCTATCTTCTGATGTAATATAGATTGTGTGATTTTGATTGCATTCTTGTAGGCATGTTTGTAAGCATATCCACGATTAAGCATCATTTTGGGACTAATACCACTCAAGCTATCTACATATTCCTCAAGCCATTTCTTGGCTTTTTTCTGAGAATACTCATTAATTTGTTTATATTTCTCATCTGAGTCTTTGAGTTGCCAGATCTTATCAGAGAGCGGTGGTTGGTATCTATCATCATAGTTGATAAATCTGGCACAAAGGCCAATAATTTTATTTTGGAGATAATATGATAAGTCTATGTCCTTTTTGAGTTCCTTTGCCACATCAACAAATTCTATTCGGTTGCCTTTAGTTAAATTTAACTTTTTACCAGATAAATCAAAATCTATATCAGTTTTGGGTATTACATAACTGAAACGCTCACCCGGTTCAGGAATCTTATCTTTATAAGTTTTTCTCATTCGCTCTATGAACCACTGAACAGTTAAGTTTTGAACATTGGGTTTCTACGTATCAGTTTGGATGAACTGGTCAAACTTCCATTGTTTAGAATTTGTTACGGCATCTCTGAAAACATCTTCAACAATTTTATGAAGTGATTGGTTATCCTCGACTTTCATAGCTTTCCACATAATTTGTTCACTAATAATTATAAAGAGTTTTGATTGTCCCTGCTTCACAGTATCGATCCCTTTAATAATAACTTTTTTGGCTTAAGTTTACTTTTTTCTCGTGAGGAATTCCAAAATATTTCTTTTTACCAGTGAAAACAACAGGAAATAATACCTCCTCATAAGCTATTTTGAGATAAGTTGATCTACTTTTTATCTTAAGATAGGTATTCACTTCATTGCGTAATTTCTCCATTACTTTTATGCTAATATTAACTATTTCGGTCCAATACTCTAGTGTTGAAATTGAATTGTTTCTATAAGCTAGATCACATTTCTTATAATTATCTTCAGGACAGGTAAGATACAATGAATCAGTATCGCCATATTGAATTCCATATCCTTTTTTTATTACGTATTCTGCAACAAGCTTAATATTGAACTAACCTGCTGAAGTAACAGCTCTAGCAATATGGCGTAGAAAGAATGGGGATAGACTATTACCTGTCTTACCGTAAAATGAATTTATATAAACTTTTATTGCCTTTTGTTTCGAATTCAAACAGATATAGTCAAAACATACAGATTCATATTCTGTTATAAAAACATTATAATCTTTACTAAAAGGAATTAAGATTTCAATCTTAGCAGAATATTCTTCTTTATTTTCTGCGTTATCCAAGATGTTATCTATAGCATCCGTTAATGATAAATTCCTCTCTTTCATTTTCTAATAACCAATTCTATATACTCCTTTTTCTTACCTAGAATAGCAAGATCGAACTTCATTTTATTATGCTTATCCAGAAGTTTTTTCAGAACTAATGGATACAAACCTTTTTTATCGATCTTGTTTTCATGTAATACTGACCAGGCTTGTAATATTTGACCATTAAATGTGAATTCGATTTTATGGAGATGTATTCCTTTCTGTTGTAGTTCAGTAGCTGTTTTTTCCTCTAATATCATCATTTCAGGTGAAAAGTTGTAAGTCATGAAAATAGATGGATATAATGATGTGAAATCCAAATCTGTAACCGGACGCTTATTATTGAAGCCTTTTACCAGAGAAAATACATGGGTACCGGGATATTTTCCAGATTCGACATCTTTACGTGATATCATACTAATTAATATATTCTGCTTCCAGGCTTCAGCGTCTAAGAGATTACATACCCTTATTCCATTTGTACGATAATGGGCATCGAATAGAGAAATATAAGCAATTGACGAGTATTCTCAGAAAAAAGCCAAGAAATGGCTTGAGGAATATGTAGATAGCTTGAGTGGTATTAGTTCCAAAATGATGCTTAATCGTGGATATGCTTACAAACGTACCTACAAGAATGCAATCAAAACCACACAATCTATATTACATCAGAAGATAGGTAATACCTATGAGATATTTCATGGGAATAGCTTAATTTTAAAGATTTTAAAGCAATTAATACTGTTAAGAGATTATGGAAAAAGTTTGTGAAATATGCCAGAGCATATACCGAGAATGATAATCTCTCAATAAATACTGAGACAAAAAAATCTATATGCTCTGACTTTACAAAATACCTAAATGTACTTATCCTATTTATCGAGAAATATGATACCTTTTTCTATCATTTAGTATATCATATGCGATATAAAGAACACGTATCCATCCCAGATAAGATTGGACGACCTGAAACTATAAGAAAAAATGAGATAGTTGTCGAGCAACCTATTATACCCAATATAACGAAAGCTGATCGACTGGCACTTAACGATTTTCTAAATACATGGAAGAGGGCAGTCAGTTCAATATAAATATATCTTTATATTAGTGATACTTATACAATATTAATAATATTTTTTTTGTACATAAATAATACTCAAGTTCAAATATAATATGTTAATAATTATATCCATAATTCCTCGACACCTGAAGTGTATCATGACATCTCCTACAAACTATCCAAGGATATTTGAGATTTAAAGATGCTGATTGATTATAAATTTTTTTTCTATAAGCATTTACCTGATAAGTTGGATATCATTTCATTAAATCTCCAATGTTTTCATTTTTATTCTTTGCCACATAGGCTTTATAGATACCATCTACAATAACTTTTATTGCATTTATAACATGCATATTAGAAAGTTCTGGTTCAAGAGTGATGATATCTGATTTTTTAAATTTATGACCACCGCAAAATCTCATTCCAACCACTATAAAGGATCGTATAACAATGCAATCTGCATATAATGGTGATGATACTTCTTTACAACTGCAACAAATATTAGGCATGGTTAAAAAGGTATTATATTTTCGTATATAAAAAATATCGAAGTTTAAATAGATAGTTCCTAATATCTCGTCCGCATATCTCGTAACTGATCACCTTTTCTCTCAAATCCCTATATGCGTCTCAATATTATGAACCACATAACTGCAATAATCAACAAAATAAGAAAAATATATGCTGATAGTGGTGACATCAAAGTGCTTGCTACAGCAGAAAGAGGCAAAGCCTCAGGACCAGGCCTTATCTGAGAATTCGATTCAATTAAAGTGGACATATTATCCTTACTAATTTCGCTAATGCTAGTTTCATTATTTACCTTGGAGTTAGCCTGATATCATTTTTTGATAGTTCGGTAATCTCATCATTAGTATATATCAATATATTACTATTAGCTTTTTCAGTTTGATCCATATTTTTTCCACGTATAAAATATTTACTAAGATTAGTACTACCTAAAGATATATTATCAGACTTAGTAATATTTTTTTCGTCATCCCCACCAACTATGAGTTTCGATATAGTCTCCGATTTCGATACTCAAGCTTATTGACCTTCGATGAGATATAGTCTCGAGGCTTCGCCTCTTCCAATTCGCTCTTTATATTTTCTAATTCAGCTATTTTGGATTTGAGAAGCGCGATCTCAGTTTCTTTTTTCGATGAGTCGCTTTGAATCGAAATTATATCTTTCTGGGCTGAAGATAACTTACTTTCCAATATCTTGATCATAGACTCGAGTGATTTGATTTTCTTGGATTTTATATCATTCTCAGCTTTGGACTTCGCAAGAGAAATGTCTTTATTAGCATTTTCAATCTGTAAACGCTTAGCTTCATCAATGAGTTCAAGATCATGAGTACGTAATTTCTGGATCTCAATATTAGCCCCTCCCAGTTTTTTACTCCACTTCTTTCTATTCCGATCTTATTGTTCTCTCTTCTGATTAATTTTTTTCTTGTTTTTCATACCTATCCTGCAATTTAGCATTATATGAGACTATCTCAGAAGAATCTTGGAGGGCGATATATAATTCTTTCTTAAGGTCTATTACATTGTCCATATTAAATAAAGAGAATTATTATAAAAAATAACAAAATATTGAATATATATATGATAAAATATGTGTTAGAGACACTATTACCTTGTAATGACTCATTGAGTTTAGCTCTGCTATAATTATCTGGTAATGCTATCAAAAAAATTACACTTCCAATATAATTCAACAATAATAGATAATTACTGATTTTTTTAGAAAATTATTGAATATTAAATATCTAATTACCTATGATTACTGATCTTTTTTTAACATAAGAGAAATAGAAGTATTTTAGCATTTTTAATAATTTTTGATAATTTTTTATAATTATAAAAAGGATGGAACACATAACTGTAGAATATTATCGTGCTAGTACTCCTTATTTATCACCAGAAGCTATTGAGAAAATTATTCAATCTCAAGGGACGGTTAAAAATGCATGCAGGAAAATGGCTTATAAATATAGTACTTCAACTCATAGAATATATGAAATTTGGAAAAGGCATGCTGAAGGAATACCCTTGCACAAACAGCAACTAATACATAGTGTTGTTTCTTCTGAAATAATGTTTGAAAATAATACTTCGGATAAGAAATCAAAGAAAAGAAAATCAGAATCAGGTATGGAGGCTAGCTTTTTAGCTAATAAGGTTAGTATAACTGATATTCTGATAAAAAAAGTAGATGAAATGGATGACTTACGAGTTAAGCTTGTACAAAATCGTAAAAAAAGAGAAGAAGCTAAACGTAAA